TTCCCCCTGCCCATCAAAAGTCACTTCCTGCTGAAATCCAGCCCCTTGTTCATAGGCCAATGCAGTGATAGATATAGAGGTATAGAGAGCAAACCACGAGGTTCTGAACTGAAGATAAGAGATCCTACAGCAGTAGCAAGTAACTGCTCAGTTTGTACAGTGGATCATAAATAGGGAAAAGAAGAATCTGGTTTAAATTTCAGATATAGGATTACATTTTCAGAGATGTAAACTGATATCTTGAATTTTGAGCACACTTGATATAAAGTAATTCCAAGGAAAATATTCCAAAATGCATAATCCCTGTCCAGAAAAGAACATCACCCTTTGATAAGGTGCCATCTTTTTCACAGACAGAATCATAGTTCCAAAAGCTGTTTTATTGCCATGTTTTGCAATATTATGGTAATCTAACAATCTAACAGTATTTGGGAAATATTTCTGCTTGCTGGGATTGGGTGTTTTGTTGGAACTGCAGCAGTTATTAAAGAAAGAAGTGCCTCAGCCCTCAAAATCTGTGGAAAATGAATAACTTACAAGTTGCATTGCAAGGTAACATAATTTTTTTAATGCGATTTTCCCGATCTGGGAAAAACCCCAAATAATCTGAGATACATTTGCACTTTTATAGTGATCTGCCAGCCGTGCGGTCCCAGTGCAAAGCTCCCAGACTTCAGTGAAATGCATCTCTGTCAGAGACATTTCCCTTCCCTCTTGTCACTCCTCAGCCTCCACAAATCTGCCGTTTGTCACATTTCCTTCTCACCACCTAACAAGCAGAGGGCCCTTGAAAACAGAGGTGTCCAAGACTGATGCTGCCTCCCTCTGTGTTGCCGCCAATGTCCCCCTATCTCCTGATGCACATTAGCTGCTGTGAGCCAATGCAACAAAAACTCGTCTGCCAAACAAGCGGGGAATGGCTGCACTGCAGGATTGCCTCTTGGCTTCAGCACTGAAGGTTTCCACGGCCAGATTCTGCCATGAGTTTGATGCTAAACATGTCCATGGGGGACTCCCACCACCGCATGTCCCTAGACCAGTGTCTGCAATGCATTAGGCTGTCACTGGCCAGGGGCTGTGTACAAATCACAAACGGGACGGGACTGCCGTGAATGTGCATTGAGCTGTTTTATTTTCCAGCATCATTACATGGTTATGGCAATGGGAAGATGCCATCAGCTCACATCCCAGGCAGCAGACCAAGAACTTAATGTTACAACTTACTTTATAAGTTTTTTGACCAATCACACAAAGCAAAAGCACATTGACAGTAGTTCTGTCCAACCACTATAAGCACAGGTGCCTTTGGTTAAAACAATGCTTGCTTATTTAGAATACAATACCCGCTTGTAAGCCTTAAAACACAATGCACAGAGCTCCATTATCAAGCTTAGAACTTCCTAATATCTCGCTGGATATACTTTTCTGCAGCTTAGGGAGTTATTCTAGCCAAGCATTAATACATAGACTGTTGTTCATTTGTCCTTGCTATTCTACTTACATAACTTTTCTGCCGACTTATTTTATGTCTACTGCTTAGCTCTAATCGCAGTTCTGCGGTCTCTGAGGCCTGTCTTTTGCAGCTTTCCCAAAACCCTCTGATTTTATGGATTCCCACAATGGCCAACCGGGCTACGGCTGGCAAGGAGCAGCTTCCCTGGGTGTCCAAGGCGAAAAAGGCAGGGAGGGCGGGACGCAGCCGCGGCGCAGGGCAGGGCCGGGCGGGCAGCAGGCGGCAGCCGAGCGCCCGGCTCCCCCGGGAGCCTCGGGAATGGCCCGGGACAAAAGCTCCCCCTGCTCCGGGAGCCTCGCACCGCGGGAAACGGAGGCCTTGCTCCTCTCCCTCTGCTGCGCAATCCCGGTTTTCTGACTTTTGTTTTCCTGCGCCATCCAAACTGACTTTTGTTCTCCTGCTGCTGCGAGTGCTTACCCACGGGAGCAGCCTCCGGTTTGATGGCTCTGTGTGATGTGAAGTCACTGTCCTTAACACACAGGTAAAATACCTGGGAGGTAAAGTGTTTATTTCCAATTTTAAAAAATTAGGAAACGCAGCTGCTTAACACATCTTGTGTATCTGTAGAAGCAATGCGTGCAACTGAACATCACAGAAGGCAATAGAAGGAATTCCATAGAAGGAATCACGGAATGGATCAGGTCAGAAGGGACCATAATGTTCATCTGTTCCAGCCTTCCTGCTCAAGCAGGTTATCTTAGAACACAAGGCACAGGATTTTATCCACAAGGTTCCTAAATAACTCTAGTGAGGGAGATGCCACAGGCTCTCTGGGAAATCTGTTCCAGTGCTCCATTGCTCTCAAAGTAAAGAAATTTTTCATGTCCAGGTGGAACTTTCAGTGCATCAGTTCCTGCCCATTTTCTCTTGTCCTATTGCTCAGCAGCACCGAGCAGAGCCCAGTCCATGCTCTGACCCCTCCCTGCAGACACTGGCAGACATTAATGAGGTCTCCCCTCAGTCATCTCTTTTAGAGGCTCAGCATGCCCAGCTCGCTCAGCCTTTCCTCATAAGAGAGATGTTCCATCCCCTTGACCCCCCTTGTATCTCTCTGCTGGACCCACTCCAGGAGCTCCACGGTTGTTTTTACCGAGGAGCCCAGAACTGGGCACAGCATTCCAGACAAGGCCTCACCTGGCCTGAGCAGAAGGGCAGGATCTCCTCCCTTGACCTGCTGCCAAAGCTCTTCCCAATGCATCCCAGGACACCACTGGCCCTCCTGGCCTCAAGGGCACTGCTGGCTCACAGACAGCTTGTTGTCCACTGTGACCCCCAGTCCTTGTCCTGCTTTCCATCAGGTTGGGCCCAGCCTGTGCCAGGGGCTGTTCCTCCCCAGGTGCAGGACGCTGCACCTGCCTTTGTTGAACTTCAGACAGTTCTTGTCTGCCCATCTCTCCAGGTCCCTCTGAAGGGCTGCAGACCCCTCCTCAGCTTTGTGTCACCAGTGAACACCCTGAGCAGGCCTCTGCCCCTTCCAAGGATTGAGGTGAGACTGACTGGTTCCAGTTCCCTGTGTCCTCCTTCTTGCCTGTTTTGAGAACTGGGTGACATTTGCTTTCTTCCAGCCCTCAGGCACCTCTCCTGATCTCCATGACCTTTCAAAGAAGATCATGAGCCCCCTGGCCATGATGTCTGCCAGTTCCCTCAGCATTCGTGGATGCGTCACATCAGGGTCCATAAAAATTACAAATCACTTTTCACAGTTCAGTCTTGAACAAGTGACCCTGAACATTTGCCTCTTAAATAAACAAGATGGAGCAGCTAGAGAATGGAAATGAATGTTGGAAACTTAGAGGGGAAAATTTTGTTTTATAGCTCATTTTTTATAGCTCTGTCATGCCAAAAACATTTACAGACATTTTACAGCAGATAATTCCACCCAGTCCTCCTGCAGTTCAAAAATATCAAATGTCACCATTGCCACATTCACTTGCACCATCTTTTGACATGCTGCAGGGACTGGTAGTGATTCATAGGCACCAGTGTGAAAGCTGTGAGTTCTCCCAAGGCAAAGACATTTATGATTCATCCTGACTTGTGTAGCCTTTCTGGAAAAAAAGGTTTATCTGCAACAAGCCACCTGAGTTGCTTGTTTTCAAGCAAGCCAAAGAAACTTAATGAGAACGCTATGAAATGCAGAACGAACGGTGGGGAAAAAAAAATCAGAATACTTGTAACATTACTAAGACTTCAAGTCCTTTAAAGAAGGGTCCAGAAGTTCCTTTATGGATTTGCTTGCATCACACGCCTGCTTGTTAAAGGGGAGTAAGTGGCAGATGTTTGTAAGAGAAAGAAAAAGGGAAGTACCACAAAGATAAGGTGACAGACTTATCTCCTGCCTTGCTTTGTGCATCCATGACTGTTTCTGTGAGAGGGAGGAGGGTTGGTTATCGCAGGACATCTCATCTTTGAGAGGGTTCAGAGGAGGGATACAAGGATGATTAAGGGCCTGGAGCATCCCTTTCACAAGGAAAGGTGAGAGAGCTGGGCTTGTTCAGCCCCAAGAAGAGGTGACGGAGGGGGTGTAGAGCCTCCTTCACTGGAGACATTCGGAGGAAAGGTGAGGGAGCTGGGCTTGTTCAGCCCCGAGAAGAGGTGACTGAGGGGGTGTAGAGCCTCCTTCACTGGAGACATTCGAGACCCCTCTGGACACAATCCTGTGCCAAGTGCTCTGGCTCTGGGATGGCCATGCTGGAGCAGGGAGGCTGGACCCACTGTGTGCCCTTCCTGCCTTGACCCACCCTGTGATTCTGTGTGGTTCGTCTCAGTGTATCATTTACATAAACATAATACAGAGAGGATCTTTATTTATTTGATTTTATGTATATGGAAATAAAACCAGATGAGATAGATCAGGCACAAGGTACTTGTAACGTTATACTCACATCACTGTTATAAAGTTGATGTTAAGTACAGTAAATAATCGTATTGATGGCTCAAGTCCAGAACTAATGTAAAAGCAGAGAAGAGGTGGAACTTCTTAAATTAATAGCATTACAGTACAATCCTTCAAAACCTCCAACACTTTTAACATTTTAGCATTTCTTTTGCTGAAATAAATATTTTATCCCCTTTCATGTATTAGTAATATATTATATTAGTAACATACATTAGTAACATTTCTATTGCTAAAAGAAATATGTGTTTTATCCCCTTTTATGAGTTAGTAACATTTTATATTGCTTTCAGTAACACTTGAGATAAATTTTCAACTTCAGAATGAGCACCATCATTTTTTTGTTTTATAAACAAAAAAATGTTTTCCAAATTGTATATACTTTTTTGTCAGTTTCTCATTTCTAACAAAGACTCATAAAGATACTTTTTGAAGTTCTGGGAACAATACAGGATGTTTTTATGGAGATTTCCAGAGAAAAGATGACTTTAATGTTTCTGTCATCTGTAGCCGACAGTGGGTTTTTAAGGGAAAGATCATGAGGTTGTGAGAAATTATGAGTTCCTGAAACAATTTTCTCTGAATCAATCTGTAAATAGAAGCACTGATATACATGATGGGCTCTTCTCACTTCTCTCTACAGGTTCAGAACCTTTCTTGCATTGCCCCAGATCTGTGGTCCCTTTGTGGGCCTGAATCAATGCCAGCATCCTCTTTGTGTAAGATAGCAGGGATAACATTGACCATTTAAATATTAATGTTCTAATGGTGTTAAACCTCAAAGAAAATATTGACAAAGACATAGGTAAACATTTCACAGCCTCACAGTGGAATCAGAGCCTTATGGCCTCAGCTCCTGGTGCACAAGTTTATGTGGTGCCGTCCTATGAAACCAGATCACTTCCTCCTTTATCTGTTTTTATGGCTCCATAGACGCCTTGCCCTTCCCTTGAAAATTTGTCCTCCCAGGAGATACGGAGTTAATGGAAGTTAGTGAGTTAATGATGGCATAAAGCTAATTGGGAAGACAACAATCCTTCATTTTCTGTCTTCCTCCTCTTTGTGCCTGTTAAGGCCCTTGTGCTCCCGCTGTCTCTGCACCTGTAAACTGTTTCAAACACAGTCCAGGGGCTGTCTTCCCAGGCTTTCACTTTCATGGGTGTGAAATGAAGAGCCACAAAGCAAAAAAAACCCATGAAACATGGCTTATTCGAAAGGCAGGATGCAGATGCTGTGGTGAGGTTTGCCAGGCACTGAGCCCCTTTTGGAGCCTGCAGTGGAGACAGTCATCATCAAGCAAAGGTATCTGAGGCTCCCACGGGCTTGTTGAAATTAATAAGAATTTACCTAAGGGAAAATTGGTTTTCCTGAGAATATGTGACTCACTCTTGAAAACATAGAAAAAGGATGAAGCTGATGCATCTCTGCAGGGACACTCGATGCTCAAATGTAACCTTTTATTGTTGGTGTTGTCAGTTCGTGTCTTGCAGAGCTTCTAAGAGCTGATAAGCTCAACACTGCATTTCTCTGAACAGTGTTGATGATACATGTGCAGCATTAAGAACAAAACCAACCATAAACACCATACTTGCCCATAGTCTCTCCATGTTCATTAACAATATTGCATTAGCAGATGGCTTCAGGTGGCTTAACTTATAACATAGTGGATAGATATGACAGTTTTCAGGACAGAGGAAGCACAGCATAAATACAATATATTGCTTTTACAAACAGGTTTTCAAAACTGTGACAGTATTATAAAAATAAGAAAGAAGCTTCATATGCAATTAAATACAAATAACTGGGCTTATGTATTTACTGTACAATAATTCCTGATAGTGCTTTGCAGAACTAAATTTATCTACAATATTCTGCAGAGAGCAAATGCCATTTCAGGCAAAGCATGAAGGAAAACAGAGAAAAGATAAATGCTACTTTAAGATAAATGCTGTCATATCCAATGTCAAGATTTATGTGGTGAACCAGCTGTCAAATTCTTACATTGGCCAAGTTTATTATTTCAATTACAGCATCAGAACTGAGAGGCTACTTTTTAATGAAGGAAGAAATGGCAGCTGTTTCCCATAGGCAGAGTTTTAGGTACCTACACATGGATTTGCAAAGCACCTTTGGGTAGACTTTCCTGACAAGCTCAGCCAGTACTTTCACTTCATTCATGCAGAAGCAGCAGGATCCAGTACAAAATAATTGCTTTACAGTAATGCTTTTAAATAATAGGCTTCAATCTTTTATATATTCCAGTAATTTTTCACACTCAAATCTGCTCTATACAGTAGCTGGTAATGAGCTGATCCAATTTAGTAGTACCACTAATCATAACAGAACTGCACCCTGCATGACCTCTGACATCTGTTTGAATCTCCTGCAGCTTTTGACTATTGGAGGGAACAGCCCCCAGCTTAGGACACTTGAAGAACAAGATAAATAAGAACTTTCATCCTAACTCTGTCCTTTTACATTACCTCAGTTTATCACATTCTTCATCCGCTAACTTTCACAAATTGGTAATGAGGACTTTCATAATGACTCCTGGTGTAGGGTATCAAAATACCGTGGCCACACACACCATCACATGTCACAGCATGTGAACACACTCTGTGTGTGTGTGTGTGTGTGTGTGTGTGTGTGTGCGTGTGTGTGTGTGTGTGTCTGAGGCATAAGACAACCAGTTTTATCAAGTCATCAATCTCCATTTCATAAAGCTCTGGAATTGCAACCGATCCAAGGAGGTAAGAGAGGATGATGTGTCAGCAGCATCAGCACAGCAACAGCACCGGTGCTACTGACCCAGAAAGAAAACGCTCCCCTGGGGAGATCCCTTCCAACTGCTTCTTGCAGTCCTAGTCCACGTACCGAATGCAGAAAGCCACGAAGCAGCAGCCGATCAGTGCCACCGTGGATGCCGAAATCACGGTGACGGCGCTGCCGGCCACGCTCACCAGGAGCCCCAGGCCCACGCCGAGAATGATCTGGGCCAGCTGCACCATGCAGGTCAGGGCAGCACAGTCAATGCCCTTCCCTCGCCCGTTCTCCCCTGCTTGTTCCCCTTCCTGCAGCTTCAGGCTCTGCAAAGAAGCACAGAACAAGCCCCAGAAACGGGACAGTGTCAGCAATGCACAGCTCTTGGCTGAGACGTTGTTACATCCCCAGGGGCAGTGGGGCAGGTTAATAGGTCACTGCTCCCCTTCTTGTACCACAGGGATTTTAAGTAACAGTGAGCTTTCCAAGCTTCCACCAAATTTTTTCTCATCTGCAGTTTTTCCCTCTATCCCTTCTCTTAAGGAAGTAATTGAAAATGGACCGGAAAAATTAGACATGATTTTCAAGTTCAGGTCAACTTGAGCTCTGTCAAACTGACATTAAACAGTACAGGTCATCCTGTCATGAATAATTTGGCTCTGACTCATGGCTGAAGGAGCCATACTATCATATTATCAAAGAATCATCATAGAATCACAGAATGGTTTGTGTTGGAAGGAGCTTTAAAAATCATCTTGTTCAAATGCTCTTGTTGTGAGCAGGGACACTTTCCAGGGTGCTCGAAGGTACATCCAACCTGGCCTTAAACACCTCCAGGGATGTCCCTTCTCTGGACAACCTGATCCCATGCCTTACCACCCGCACAGTAAAGAATTTTTTCCTGATATCTAACCTATTTACTCTCTCTAAGTTTGAAGCCATTCCTGCTTGTCCTATCACTATGTGCCCTTGTGAAAAGCCCCTCTCCATCTTTCTTGCAAGCTCCCTTCAAATACTGGAAAGCCACACCTATGTCAATCTGAAGCCTTCTCTTCTCCAGGCTGAACAATCTCAAGTCTCTCAGCTATTCCTCACAGGAGGAGTTCTCCAGCCCTGTGACCATTTTTGTGTCTCCTCTCTGGGCTCACTGCAGCAGGTCCTATCAAAGAATCATCATAGAATCACAGAATGGTTTGTGTTGGAAGGAGCTTTAAAAATCATCTTGTTCAAATGCTCTTGTTGTGAGCAGGGACACTTTCCAGAGTGCTCGAAGGTACATCCAACCTGGCCTTAAACACCTCCAGGGATGGGGCATCCAAAACTTCTCTGGACAACATGATCCCATGCCTTACCACCCGCACAGTAAAGAATTTTTTCCTGATATCTAACCTATTTACTCTCTCTAAGTTTTATGCCATTCCTGCTTGTCCTATCACTATGTGCCCTTGTGAAAAGCCCCTCTCCATCTTTCTTGCAAGCTCCCTTCAAATACTGGAAAGCCACACCTATGTCAATCTGAAGCCTTCTCTTCTCCAGGCTGAACAATCTCAATTCTCTCAGCTGTTCCTCAGCTGAGGAGGGGTTCTCCAGCCCTGTGACCATTTTTGTGTCTCCTCTCTGGGCTCACTGCAGCAGGTGTCTCTCAGCTATTCCTCACAGGAGGAGTTCTCCAGCCCTGTGACCATTTTTGTGTCTCCTCTCTGGGCTCACTGCAGCAGGTCCCTGTCCCTCCTGTGCTGGAGCCCAGCTCTGGATGCTGTGCTCCAGGTGGGTCTCAGCAGAGCAGAGTGTGCAATCCTTTCGTCTGTGTCATTAAAGAAGAATCACACTGGTCCCAGTGCAAACCCTTGAGGGCACCACTTGTCACTTATGTCCATTTGGATTCTGTCATTGACCACGACCCTCTGGATGTGACCACTTTCTTATCCATCTAACAGTCCACTCATCAAATCCATCTTTTCACTTTACAGGGAAGGATGTTGTGAGGAACCAAATACAAAGGCTTTACAGCAGTGCTGATGTGCCCCACACGCATAAAGGCAGGAACCTGAACTTATGGCTCAAAGCACATAAAGGAAATCTGTATTAAAATACAAATGTAATACTTTTATTGCTGAGGATGAAAGCAACCCAAAAACAAACATCCAGACTAGGATTCTTCTACACTGCTGATGACCACTTTTAATTACTAATCTGTGTATCTTCTATGATATGCATAGCAGACCAAAAGCCTTCATTTATTATATACAAGTGTCTTGCATATCAGCACCCTGTGAGCTGGTGGGTCACTGGAACAGGTTAACTAGAGGGGATGTGGAGTCTCCTTTCTTGGAATCATTCAAACCAGACCTGGGGCAGCCTGCTCCAGGTTGCCCTCCTTGAGAAAGATCTACATGATCTCTGGGGGTCCCTTCCTCCAGAAAGAAATTACTCTGTTTTATTGGGAAATTATTTGATAATTGACATGTTTATTTTCTTCCTGCATAGGCTCTTAAATGGAGGAGGTTGTGTTCCAATGACAAGTTCCCACACTGCAGGCCAGTGGCTCCGCGGTGTTCTGGTATCCAAATTCTCTTAGCCATTAAGATGCTTTTTGCTTTTTGCAAACCCTATTACCTTGCCTTTGAGCTACACAAATCTCACAAGTACTGGAGACAAAGAGTCTGTTCCTAATCCAGTAGAAAAAAAATTGAATTTGGATCCTAGGGAACAGCAGCACAGAGCAGTAGCTGAAATGGCAGCATTATAAAACATAGCACATGATTTTGGTAGAGTGCATAGTGGGGGAAGATATCTACTCCTTGTTTTGAAATTATAAAGCCCCAGTTTTAGACACTTTGAAAAATAAATTATATTTCTTTTGCTGGGCTGTTCCCAGTGTTCCTATGTGGCAGTAGTTCTACCACAAATACATGAATCTGTAAATGAATGCACTCTTTTGCTTGATGTCTACTCTTTTTTTTTTTCTGTCTTGTACATTATAGAAGATCTGATCTAAACCTCAGCCCATTAATATAAAATCTAACATAGAATTATATATCATATAACATCTGTCATAGCAAATACCATACACCGAACAAGAAAAAACTGGTTGTCTTTTAAGTAACACATGAATATAACAGCCTATTAAGTGTAAAGTTCATGCACACTTTAGCTTATTTTACTTCACTTCTGTCTTGAAACAGATTTTGCATTTACTCCTCCTCTCTGAGTTGGCTGACCTGAGGTAAGAATTGAGATTTCACCCTAACCTGGGCTCATTCCCAGTCTTTTGTTTTGTGTTTATAACACATCATGATCATTCTCTGTTGGAAGGAGCAAAGAAATTAACCAAAAAATTTTGAATCATATATATGAAATATTTAATCACTTTGAGACATCCTCCTGGCATTCAGTAGAGTAATTAGAGAGTTCTTTTGTGATCATCATTCAGAAAGAGCTGGTGAAAGTGGTACAAAACAGCAGGAAATGTTGTGTAGCACTTGATCTAGCCCTCTGCTGCTTTCAACTATGTTTTATGTGGTTTTCCAATGGTTCAGCATTGCCTTTATTAATTTTTTCAGATGTCCCAAGATGTACTGAGAACTTTTCCTAATTTCTTCCATCTCTCCTTAATCTTTCTTGTTTCCAGCTGTTTGACTAACTTAAGAGACTTCAGGGGATTTTTCCATTAAAGAACTCAACACTTTACAATACATGAAGATCCTGCTGTGCCCAGTAACATGATACAAGGTTTGCAAGTTTTTCCAGATTTTCCTTGGAAACAGGATTTAAGGCCATGAAGCACAAAAAACCCAACCACAGACATTTAGAAAGGTAATGAGAATGTGGTATATGATTTAATACTGAACTATATAATGCTGTTTGTACTTGAATGTCATTTGTTTATTAGCTAAGAGCTTTTGTAACACTTTGCAATTACAAAAAAATTCTGACAGCCTTTACAGGCTTGTTATTTACCTCAGGCCCTCAGGAGTCCTCTGCTAACGTGGCTGGAAGGAAGGATATAAAGAAGGACTTGAAGACAACACAAATGGAGCCCTGTTACCTGCTTACTGCCTGAACATGTGCTGTGATTGGCTTTGTTTCAGATCTGATGATAAATAATTATTTGTTTCACTGAAGGTCTGTTTGGAGAGTTTGAAGCTGGGATGTTAACTCCCTCTGTCAGAAACTTCCCATTCATATGTGTCATTATTAATAGTTCAAAATTGAAATTAATAGCTGCTCATTTCTATCCAGTTTATCCCCAAAACAGGTTGAATAGTCACAGACAGATATGAACTTAATGTTTCTTGAGACATTGCACTCACCTCTTCTTCCCTGTGGTACTCTGCAATGAGGTGGAATGGCACCGTGTACAGTGTGCTGGACATGACTCCAAAGAGTGAGCAAAGAGCCAGAGTGGAATAGACATTGGGAAACAAGCCAATTAATCCAGTACCCAGTCCAAAAAGTAGGTATCCAATGAAGTAAAGTCCCTTTAATCCTATGTATGGCAGAAGGACTTTCTGCAAGTCTGTGAAAAGAAAGTGGAAATGCTAAGATTAAAAGAAATAGGTCTCATTTTATCAGGGAGTTCCTTTTAAAGGAAAAAAAAAAAAACAAAACCCTTGTATTTTGTAAAATGCAATGAAGAAGATAATCTTAATGATTTTGGAAATTACATCAAATTATTGTGGGTATAAACTTGACAAGGAATACTTGCTGACACCACCCAGAGCTCAACCTGCAGTTTGCACTGCAGCTGCAGCCAGAGATACTTGTGCTGAATAGAAGTTCATCCACAGAAAGGCCACACAGAAATGCCTGCAGTTAAGCTCCAAAGGTGAAAACATTTCCCTCAAGCCTCTTTTAGATGCTTAAATCAACCCCCAAAATGCTACTTATTTGAGTTTTCAGATCATGATTTTTTTAATCCTAGGGAAGAGTTATGGTGAAATCTACCTGGGGAGCTGTGCTAACATGTTTACACATAATTTTGGAGAGCAAGATTCAAGCTTCTGGCAAGACCTGCTGCATGGGGAATGCGGGAGAGGTCACCTTAGAGAGCCTACAACTACAGCATTGCTAGGTGAAAGAACACCTAAGAATTTGGTGTGGCATTTAATTTCAGAACGATTTTCAGTGTTCAGGGTCAGTTCATGTGCAGAACAACTTCCTACTTCCAAAGTCACCCCTCATCATGTGGTCAGGAACTGTTTGTGCTAAGATGTGAGTTTCTAACAATGCTGAGAATGTAACATTCCTTAAAGTTTTAATGTAAAAAAAAAAGTTCCAAGTAATTTGGCATCCCTTTGTGGTTTTTGAACAATGGCAAACAGCAAACAGTGTTGGAGTTTATTACTGGGTACTTACAAGAATAGACTGATGAAGAAATTGCATTGATGCACAGTCCCCAGCATCCCATCTCTACCCCTGCTTTGTAGGTAAGGTAAAGTGTGGAGTTGTGAGGTGCATAGGGATTTCCATGGTACACAACCTGAAAGAGACCACAAAAGTCACAGAAGGCAGGAATAGCATCACAGAAGGCAGGAATAGCACCATGTAGGGAATGCCTCCTTCTCACGGGCACAGGGCTCCATCCCTGGTAGGCAGCACCCAAAAAATCTGCTGAGCAGTGTCCTAACCACCCATTTGTAATTCTCAAGATTTCACACTCACATCTCCTGGGCTATCAAGTCCCAGACTCATTTCTTACCCTCTGCCTTTTCCTGGACTGTCTATTTTACGTTGACTCATTTGCTCTTCTATCCTTTGGGTGTCTCACTTCCAATGTCTCTCTTCTCTCTGTCTTCTTGCCTTAGCCTTTCTTTCCCTAATTTATCTACAACTTTTTTTTTCTCTTTTCTCTTTCAGATTTTCCTCAATACATTCATTTTTCCACACAGTTGTTGTCTTATTCAGTTACTTTTCTAGACAAGCAAAACTTTTTTCTTTCAGTTGTTCATCTACACTGCAGGGGAAAAAACTCTCCCTCTTGCCTTGCCTGAAAAGACAAAAAAGACGAGGAAATGGGAATACTGTATGGAAACCACAGAGGAGCAGGGAGAGGCAGTGAGAGATTTGTGCCAGGACCATATTAGTGCTCTGGAAGGAAGGAGGCAGACACATCCATACAGGCAAGAACCACTGTCAAGGACATGCAGTCCCTGGGAATGGCACGGAAAAGGCACCACTGGGTGTTGTGAAGGCAAACAGTTGCTGAGAAAAGGGACTCAGGACAGACAAATGCAGGAAGATAAAACTTTCTGCTACCAAGTAGCTCCCTGTGTGCAAAGAGCTGCATGGCCTGAGGCCAGGGAGGCTGCAGAGCATGGGGAAGGTCTTTGTGGGGATGCTGCACACACACCAGCTGCATCCAAGCACTGCCCCAGCTAGAAAACCTGCCCGTCTGGGAGCAGCTCCGAAGCCAAAGCAGAAAATGGATATGTTTGGACCAGCTCTGAGAGCTTCACTTGGAACATTTAGACACAGATAGCCTTACAAATGCTAAAGGTTTTCCCCAATGACTTCCCCAGACAGGCTTGGAACAATGGCCTGACCTTAATTAGCTGGTTTACAAAACTGTTGTCGAGACATCCACATACAAATGGCTCTGACACCAGTGTCATTTGCTCAGGATAGTAACACCACTTCATTTCTTTCTGATGGAGGAGGAGATGCTACAAGGAAGGAGTAGTGAGAGTATTTTATGCTTTACCTGTCCCATGAAATCCGTGAAGAAAAGCATGTTGGACAGGAAAGCCATCCATCCAAAGAGGTGGCTCACACACAGACAGCGATAGTGGGATGGCATGCTTAAAAGTGTCTTCAAGAGGGATTTAAGGGTCATCTGCCTCTTTTCCTAAAAGCAGATATTCAAGAATAATACAGTATTATTGTCCTGAAGGCTAATGAAATAGCTGACAGCAAATGAAGAAGGCCTTAGTAGTATCTTTTCATTGCTAAACTTCCAAAGTCTTTTATTTTTTGCTAGGAAGGTTTGCTTGGATACTGACTTTTCTTCAATTTCTGAAATTCACAGGAACTATAGAAGAGACGGAGTATACCAGCAGGAATGTAACATATTTTGCTGTTATTATCAGTAGAACAATTATTTACATGTAGAATAACAGGGAAATTTTCTGCCAAAGCAGACTCAGAGAGTTAAAAAATCCTCCAATGAACCAACAACAGAAACAACAGGAAACAAAAGTTATTTCTTTATAGAGACCATCAGATTTTCACTGAATTTAAAACTGCTGCTGAAGAAGTTATGCTCAAAATACTTCCTGAAAATTAAAATGTGTCAGTTGTGGATTTCTGAGACCTTATTCCCTTCCATTTTATGAGCTAAATTCCACCATCAGCTTTTCACTGAAAATTTAAAACTGCTGCTGAAGAAAGTTATGCTCAAAATACTTCCTGAAAATTAAAATGTGTCAGTTGTGGATTTCTGAGACCTTATTCCCTTCCATTTTATGAGCTACATTCCCTAGGAAACTTCTACCTCTTTGAGCAGATAATGAGCTTTCCACTACGTGCTGTCCTTGAAGCAGAGGGAAGCTGAGGCTCCCCATGGTAGCACACAGAGAATGTGAGCCCCAGCACCTGAACACCTCATACCAGGGGAAAAATAACCAATTTCGTAATCAAAACTTAATTGGTACTGGTTAACAAATCTCACTGATGAAGAAAATCAAATTTTCTCACTGCCTTTAATTCCCCATGATAACTCCCTTCTTGTCTCAGCCCAGTACCCCAAAACTCTCTGTTTCTTCTCCAGTCACATTCATCAGATCATTTGTATTACTTTTTTTTTTTTAAACTACTGTAGGTGCGCTTGATATCAGGTATTTTGACACATAATTCTTCCTGAATTAAAGCTCCTGCATGGTTCATTGCTTTTAAAGAGAGTGAAAAACCCCCCCCATACTATTTTAACTGTGGATGATGGAAAACTTCCAATTTTCTCTGATGATGTTTGGAGACAACAGTGTCAGGAGAGAGGGTAAGGGAAGATGTATGTTATGAAATGTGGAAGAACTGCAAAAGTTACGCTAATTACTCAAAATTCCTGGACTGGATCTTGTCTTCAATTTGCTGCAAGATGTAATTTTTTCCTTTCTTTCTTCAGTCTGGTATATACTTTTCACTAATCTACTTTCCTTTGAACTAGGCTATGCTGCAGGCTACTCTATGAATAATCACCACATATAAAGTTGGAAAATACTTTGCTTCAGTGTGAGGTTTTTAATCCTCATAGGAATGCCAAAATTCAAGTTGCTGACTTCCATCTTGGACTGTATATTGTCCAAATCCCTTGGAATTTCTCTTGGCATCACTGTCTTTTTTTAAACAGGGTAAGCTTTATATTCTTATTATAAAAAGAAAACAAAGGAATTCCAGATTGACTAATTAGTGTTATTTCAAGGATAATTACTATTGTTTGATTTGGCTTTATTTAGTTTGTAATTCTTCCACACTGCTTTTTAAAATAGCCTTTCCAATCAAAGTTTTAAGGTAAGATCATGGAATTACAAAGAACACTGCAGTGATAATAAACAATAATTTGACAGCTAGATGGAAATGTTTTCTTTCTATTTAAATATTCCAGAAAGTGGAAAAGGAAACAAAAAATGTTTCATGTATACATTCAAAGCATACCAGCACACAAACTACATGCTAATTTAAATAATGTGCTGAAGTTTTGCTCTGTTTAAGTACCTTATCCTTCAAAAGCTCAGAATACCAAATAATCTCTACAAAATCACTACAACTCAGGGCATAAGATGATAAGAATACAGAGAAAGCAATATGACTCGGGTTTTATGGCAGTGGACCTTGAATAATTTGGCACCATTCAAAAGAATACAAGGCTAATTGCTTTGGGTGTCTGTTCATACTGTAATGGGCCCAATCTCATTAATAATCATGTTAGCTATTAGCATGTGAGAACAGAGGCCTTAATTTAGAAGAAATATAGCCATGATGCCTGCAATTTAAAAAAAAGAGACAGAAAAACAGGAAGCCAAACCATTTCTTCAAGGAAGTGATTATGGTAATGAATGAACTCAGCAAACATGTGCCGCAGGAGACAGATCATTAAAGCAGTGAGTGTCTAGAATTCATGCACACAAAGAAATGCACATCAAAGAAACATGAGACTGATCAAAGCACTGGGGGACTCTCACAGGCTGCCCAGCCCAGGCAGAGAGGAGGGCAGTGGCACAGGCTCGCCACCACAGCTTCACCTCCGGAGTTAGACATGAAACTCCACGCTCCTCATGTTGCTGGCTCCATGGAATTAGTTCTTCCCGAGGCAGAGGCTGCCCCAAACCACAGTCTGCTCCCCCCACTTCCACTGCATCGCTCTCTCAACTTCATTTGCCTTCTCCTGTTTTAGAGGTACATGATCCAGGCAATGGATGAGGCTCAGCATCTCCAGCGCCTGGGAGGATGCTCAGAGTGAGCAGCGCTGGTGAAGGACGCTGCTGCCCAGGCTGGCCTGACGTGGGGGACCCCAGACAGCATCACAGTGCTCTTGTCAGATTCTCCACACAGCTGTTGCCTTGCTGTCTGCCCCACTCCGCGTTTGCCTGGCATTATCATCAGGGAGTGCTCATTTCATATGTCTTGCATCTAATAATATTGAAATAATTTAATAATATTTTAATAATTTCATAATATTTTTCTTGCCTGGCATTATCATCAGGCAGCACTCATTTAATATGTCTTGCATCTAATAATATTGAAATAATTTAATAATATTTTAATAATTTCATAATATTTTTCTTGCCTGGCATTATCATCAGGCAGCACTCATTTAATATGTCTTGCATCTAATAATATTGAAATAATTTAATAATATTTTAATAATTTCATAATATTTTTCTTCCAGTTACAAATACCAAGTGCTATTATAAAACAAACTATGAATAGTAAGAGATTATAAATCCTTTTTACTTACAGATTAAACAAGAGTATTGCTTTCCTACTTATAACTGTTTGTACATGCTTAGTATATTTTACCTGATTTATCAAACATTTGTATCAGTGTATCAGGGGAAATACCAAGTGCTATTATAAAACAAATTATGAATAGTAAGAAATAATAAATCCTTTCTACTTACAGATTAAACAAGAGTATCGCATTCCTACTTATGCATGTTTGTACATGTTTTAGTATATTTTACCTGATTTATCAAACATTTGTATCAGGGATTGATATGCATAATGCCAAGAAATCACAAATGGAATTAAAATGAGAAGCAATTGTGTCACCACTATTGTGTTATACTATGCTTACCTAGGGTACCATGAGATAACCATGAGGATTTCTATCACTAAAAGTCATCAACCAACTGTAAAAACAACCATCTGTTCTCAACACAATACTAGAAGTGGTCTCCAGATATTTTTCTGGTAGATTCACCTCTTCCTAGGTGCCTTATTTTGAAGAAATCTCTCACAAAAAAACATCAGAAACAAAACAACAGTGAGGATTTAAAAGTACTGACTGTTTTCTCTCACCACAAATTTTGCCAAAGGCATAGCTATGATATCACTCAAAATAAAATTCAAACTCTGGTAGCACGGTAGCACTGCTGTAGAAGTAGAAATTTTAAACACATTAGAGCTCAATGAAATGTTGAGCAGCAGAAAACCCAAATGTCACACATTTTACATGTATTATATACAAAATTGTGTGGACTTTGGTGAGAATTAGAGACCTACATCAAAGATTAACGGTCTGCAGTCTTTGTCCACAATTTTATGCTAATTAAATCAAGACTAAAGGACAAAGCAGATCTCATTTACAAAATTCACAGGAGGAGGACATCAAGAGATTGACAGTGAGCAGAAAACCAAGCCAGGTTCCCCCTCGTCCCTGCCAGTGGATCAAAGCATCAGAACTAGCTGGTCTCATGCCTCTTGCTGGCAATATTTTGTAAAGGAAAAATAGTCAAAAAACAGGCAAGCAGACTTTTCCTGTCTCTGTATCCCGGTGGAGGGTTCTTTTCTGTGCCGGTGAAAGGACTCCATTACAAACAACAATCATTGGCTAGATAAGGGGTCCCCAAGGATGCAAAGATACAACCTATAAAATCACCTCTGCACTCACCTCTGTGCGTGACGCAGCCGCGCATTTCCCTGGCTGGGCTGCAGCCTTTGTTTCGGTACATGATGATTTTAAGTGACCATTCCTTATTTCCTCCTCTATGGAGTTGTATTTATGGGGTTCAGTCACTTCCAACAAGAACTTTGCCTCTTCGTTTTCATGTCTGAGTGGGACTTCAGGAATACTGCACAGATGTATGGTAAGGCAGATTATGAAAACCAAGGCTGAGAAGAAGAAAATCACTTGGAATTCTGATGCCAAGGTATATCCTAGTATAGTTTGACCCCAATCCATAGCACCTGTAAGGTAGCCCAGGGCTCCTCCCAAACCTACAATGGCAGGGGGAAAAAAAGGAAAAGAAAATGTCTACTAGCATTGACAAAATAAATAAAGAGTACATAATACCCTCAATAGGTGATGCCCTCTAGAAATGATGGAATAATCACTCTTCAGATATTTATCTCAAGAAATAGGAATACTGAGTTAACCACATACATGAGCAGTTACTAAAACATCTCTTGAAAAATCTCCTCAGATCTGTCAGGCAGAGCACTCTAGAAATTTCCTGAACACACAACAAAATAGGGTCCATCTCTTTTTTTTACTCTTTCAAGTTCTATTTTCTTTGAAATGGTAAAAAATAAAAGTAAAATTAAATAAAATCCTACAAAAAAATTTGGGGTTTTTTGGCGGTTTTTTTTGTTTGTTTGTTTGTTTTAAATTTTCACAGAACGAACATTTTAAAATTTATTTTGAGAGTTTCTACAGTTTAGAATTTGTAAAATATATTTGGCTTAGTCCAAACAGAAATACTGACTCCATATGAAATTTTTTAAAAAGGAAATAAACCCAAAGGCATTGTTTTGTACATATACAAATACAACACCTCTTGGATAAGAAAACAGAAAGGAACAAGCATAAGCATGTAATCCCATTTACTAATTTTCTCAGAAGAGGTAGACTGAAGGGTAAAATGAGAATGCTACTTTGTTCCTTGACATTACTAAACCCAGTTTTCAGTCCGTTTGGTTTTTTACAATTCTTCTCTTTGTTATAAAAGCACACAGAGATGCACAGGAACTCTGTTACATTCAGCACAGAGCTCTGGTGGGGGTGGTGCCTTTGTAGAGTCCTGACACCTTCTTAACCCGGTGCAGGACTTTGTAGAGTCCTGACACCTTCTTAACCCGGTGGCTCTGGGGGATGGATGGTTGGGAGTTCCATGGGATAGGCACTTTCCAAGAACTTGGAACATTTCTACCCTTTTGCATAGGAGAACAGTCCACAGAAAAGCCCTGCATCTAACAAAAACTAAGAGCAGCTGCACTTGCTTCCACAAAAAACATGGGATTTTGATTTCATTCTGGTCTTTCTGTATCTTCTTTGCCCTCCTGGGTCTGTTTGTGCCCTTCATTGTGGACTATGGCATTTCACAGGGGACTGTATCCTTACTTGTTCTCATAAAAAACAATTACGCTATTAAAACTTTTTAAAGAAAATCTACACAATGTTATTTTCAATGTATGTTTGCAGACAGAATGTTTGGCAATAGAGGATGTCTTTGCATGCTGTTTTGAAAAAGAAGCGTAATGATATTGGAATGCAGCCTGAATGTTGATTGTTGAACCTGTGCGCTCTTTCTTCCACTTGAATAAGTGGCCATGGGTTTCATAACTGCAAAGCTATCAAGTTTCATGTTCAAGCCCTAAACTGAAGGGAAACTGGAGAGTAAAATCTTAGAAGTATTAAGTATAAAAGGAAAGAAGGAACTAAAGTGGAAAAAAGAAACAATATCTAAAACAGAACCTGGAGAAGAAATGAAAAAATTGCTCTCTGTGTCTAATAGGGATAAAATGGGGAAAGATAAATGTAAACTGTAGAGAATTTATATTGATACTACAGTTTAGGGAAACAAACACCAAGGCCAGGGAATTGCTGGAGAATGCCTTGAGAGGCTGTAGAACTCCAATCAAGGGAGAATTTCAACACCAGACCAGGGAACTTTCAGTTAGGAAGGGTTAAGATGAACTGGCTGTGGAGAGCACAGGATGCTGGACCAAGTCATGCACTCTGCCCCCGTCATATTTCATGTTATTTGTTCCACATCCCTTTTCACAGATCAGTACACTGAATCAGCTAAATGTGTAGCTTCAAATTCAGAGACTTTTAAGTGTCACCCAAAAAAATTTTCAAACCAAGTTGTGCTGAATATACACAGAGACTCACTCTTCTCTCTTTCCAAAAAAGTGATTTCTTAACATTTTATCTGTTTCTAATGGATAATACAGATTTCATTCCCATGTGGCTTTAAGCTTCCCTTGTAAACTGTGTTCCTGGACATAGGTATTTCATGTGCCCAAAATCAGCCTTTGTCATTAGCTACTACACCTCCCTCCTTGAATAGAGTAACTGCTACTGAGTTTACGTGTCTCTGCTCCTGCTGGGGGCTCAGTAGCCACAAAAATCTGCTGTAACAAAGGTTGCATGACTTCTCATTTTGTCTAGGGCTTTATTTTACAGGGATTACTCTCAGGCATGGCAGGAGGTTCCTCCCAGGTCACTTCACAGGTACGCAGCCTTACGTGTCTTCCCTGTGCATTTCCTCAACACGTGGAATCAGTGTTCAGGGTTGGGATGGACCTTAGAGATGATCCAGACCCACCCCCCCTGCCACTGGCAAAGACACCTCCAACTAGACCAGGCTGCTCAAGGCCTTATCCAACCTGGCCTGGAACATTGACAGGGTTGGTCATTCAAAATCTCCCTGGACAACTTATTCCAGTGTCCCACCACCCTCACAGGGAGTAATTCCTTCCTAACATCCAGCCTAAATTTCCCCTCATCTTCCTAAAGAAGAGTCCCTCTCCAGCTTCCCTGTGTCCTCCCTTCAGATACTGGAAGGTTCCTAAGAGGTCTCCACACAACCTTCTCTTCACCAGGCTGAACAGCCCCAACTTTCTCAGCCCATCTTCAAAGGAGAGGTGCTCCAGTCCCCTTATTAATTTTGGGGCCCTCCTTTGAACTTGTTCCAACAGTTTTGGGTCCTTCTGTAACTTGGCAACATTCCAAAAATGTACAAAGGCAAATAAAGCTGTTAACCTCATTTGCAGGAACTTGAATGGAACTACTTGGACTTATTTTGTGGAGTTGTGAATTTCTGAATTTTACACAGAACTCTTGTTTCTATACAGCACATACTGGAGCACTGCTGAAGAATGGAAATCAATTGGTTTGTGCAGCTCTTGTTGTATGTCACACAACAAGTCAAAAATGTTATTTTTATGTACAATAGCAATGAAACAAGCTACATCCCTTAATTTTTGCCTCAGCAAAAACTTGAAAAAAAACCCAAAACAAACTGAACAAACCCTACTTCACATTTAAAAAAAACTGACTGCTCTTAAATCATGCATGTTGCTGTCATGATTTGTGCCTGCAGCCTTCTTCAGAATTCTGGTAGCAGCAATCACAAGTTGCTGTTCTCTGGAGTAGTGAAAACCCAACAACAAAAGTCTCGTGACTGAAGTGCAGGATCAGATGATCAGTTCATTCAAGATTAGAAACACAGTGAGGATAAAACCCATGCAATTACCCTCCCCTCCTTTGAGAGGGAGGGAGGAAAAGAAAGGATCAGTGTACCTGTAAAGAGGGCGTGGTAATGCAGACCCTTCTCTTTATCCTGATGAGAGCAGACATCAAATAAATATGCTTTGATGGGACCATCAATAAAATCAGCTGCAAAATCAAAAAGTACTACTCCCAGCATGGTAATGACTATTGCCCACGTCCGCTGCTTGTCTCTCTCATCGATGAAAGCTAAAAAAAGAAAAACACCCTCATTCTGACAGCAACAGTGCCATGTTCTGCAAAACCACATTTAGTCTTTCCTGATACCTCAAAATCTAAGGTTACACAAGAGAGGCCAGTGGCACCAGAATCTCATCAGAGAAGCAGGAGAGCTGATTCTGTGCTGAGCTGGGCTAGGCTGATTTACTGCCTTGAGTCAGCACATGCTCAGAATGCTTCAAGCTCCACAAGCGAGAGCATCACTATCCTTAATCTATCCCTTTACACCTTCAAGGCATGCCCTGGTAGCCTAACACAAGCATTTTGTAATACTTTCATTTTTTCTCTTTGTCCAACCCTTATATTGTTTTAGATATTCAAGAGTTGACTGCAATATCTGTCTCTGGGTCAGTAAAATCAAGTACATTCAACATCAATAATATCGAGGAAGAGAGAATAAATCAATCCATAAAACACACCCCTCCCCCCATCTGCCGAGTCAGCAACAACTCTGTATCAAGACTTTAAGAAACTACATCCCAAACTAAAATGTAACAATATGGATGTCACTCCTATTTGATTTTGCATGTTTCAGAGGCAACAGGATTTCAAAGCAGTTGACGATTTTTGTTTTTCAACCAGCACAACACAAGAGTGAAGACAGTGCTGCAATAATAGAAGGCAAGTATTTTGAATAGTAATCCATCTAAAATAGGGATGAGCAGGGATTCGGTTTGGACATGTATTACATCACAAAAACAATACTATCATTTAAGCTAATAAGGTGGATCTTAGCTCACAAAAACTTCTATGGCCTAAGCAAATCTATACCTTATCAGAGAGCTAATCAGGGAGCCAAAACAACATAAAACAGACTGCAATCACATGCACAGACTACAGAACACTATGCAGAGGGTACATAACATGCAGTGTTAGGATTGAATGTACACAAAGATTACAGTGCTCCCCAGCTCCTTCAGCGCACCCCAGTCACATGATACCAAATTTTAACAGCGCATTTTAAGAAGCAAAAGGGGAATCCCTCTCCTTTTTCTGATTCGAAAGGCTAGGACGAGTTTTGTCTGTCAGCACAGCGCATGCCCCTCACTCACCTGAGATCATCACGTCCCCATTGAGGTACAAAGCCATGCCTAACAGCATTATGATGCCCAGACCCAGAATGTAAGGTCGCCTCCTGCCCCAGCTACAGGTGCAGTGATCACTGGCTGAACCTACCACGGGCTGCAGCACGAAGCCCAGGATAGGGCTGATGAGCCACACGAGGCTGTAGAGGTTCTTGGGCAGCCCTACACTGAGCAGCACCGGCGTGACAAAGGCGGCCTCCACGGCATAGCAGAACTCCCGGCCGAACATGGCCATGCTGTGCATGACCAGCCTTCCCACCGCGCGCCTCCTTGGCACCGCTGCTCCAGTCCTCATCACGGACTGCCTCGGAGCTTCCTCCTTCTCTGTGGAGCCATCCATGTCGGCCTTGGCCACCCCAGAGGTGGGCAGGAGCGCCCCGTGGAAGCTCTCTTTGGTTAAGGTCATAGCTCCGGCTGCGAGCGGTGCCGTGGCAGGCTGGTGCTGCCTGCTCCGGCTGACATGGGGCCCAGATCATATGCCGGGTGGGATCGGTCTGTGCTGGGGGAGGGACTCACATACTTTCATGGCTCTGCGATCACAAGTTATGCCAGGAAGGGGGCGGGGCAGCGTGTGTTCACATTAGCTGATCTGAGCTTTTGGGCGTCTGCACTGCTCCCGACTATCCACAACTAAGGAATTACTGTTTACGCATGAAGCACACATACAACGGGAACATACATCACATGGTCCAGGCGCAGGATTAGCCTGACACAAAGCTGTTCCTCTTGCTGTAAGATCTTGCTGTAAGACGGCAGTGACACCAGGAACCCAGTCCTCATCTTTCCATTCAGCAAACATGAGCATCAGACCATTCCCTGCTGACTAACCTGGGGGAAAAAATACTGAATCTATCTGGAAAAGGATTTCAACGCACTTCATAAGCATGAGTAAGTGAACCTATCCATTGCCCTAGAGCCTTAGAGGCAGATATAATGCTTGGCAGGAATCTGTCAAGCAGCAACTGATGAGTACTTTTTTGCATGTGCTGTGTACTGCCCTCAAAAGGACTGATTATTTCTTGGTTTCTGAAAACGAGAGTATCAGAATTACTTAGAGGTGGGTTTTTCAAACAGTCTTACTTGCCAGGGGAAGGTCTTAAGAAGGTCTTAAGAGAAACCTTACTCAAACAGTACCTTTCAGGTTGGCCACCTGAGAGAGGCAGCTGCTCCAACCCATCTTGAAGAAACACAAGGTTTTAAATTGACATCAATATTTTTGGTTTCAAACTTATCCATGATGGACATCACATTTGACAATGCTGATCTTTTTCCAACACGATCAGATATATCTGGGACTAAGAAACTTGTCAAGCCCAACCGTGTATAATGTTCAGTAGCTTACACTAGGCTGATTAGCAGCTGGAAGCCCCAGGTGGTTTTGCTGATGATTTAGACAACTTGCCAGGACCTACTAGATAATTCTTGCTTCCAGGCTGTGGTTTCTGTAGTAGAATGTAAAAGGTTTTTTTATGGTAATAATGTTGACATTTTTGCCACAACACATTAAAATGAGCTAAAGTATAGCTCATTTTGGAAGCCTTTGTAACCAACAAACCAATCTTCAGCAAAAGACAGACAAAATTATCAAAACACCCAACCCTTCATGTCATAACTCCTCAAACGTTGGATAATACTGTATTAATGCCATATAACTAATTATTTTTGAAAGCATATTTTCTTCTGTCTTGAAAGAGATGGTTTCAAATGAAAGTTTAAGTTTGAAGGAAATTGAAACCAACATGGAATAACCATTGTTTAAAACCTGCACAGCAAAGTTGCCTTCCATTTTTCCGTAAGGAGAGGAAAGGATTACTAGTTGGCAAATATTTTTAAAATGAAAAAATTTGATTCAGAATTTAGTTTCTAGGCAAGGTGATATTCCGAACGTAATATATAATAAGGAGACTGCATTGAGAAAATATAGTCAGGCTGTTAAACAGATCAGCTTTGAGGTAACAGCTCTGCAGCAGCACATAAAAGAATAGCATTAGTTAGACCATAGTTTCAGCATGATAAAGCAAATTAATCAATATGAAAAACAGATTAAAAAATCCTTTCTAATTCATGAATAAACAACACAATCACTCATTTAAGAAGAATATAATTATATTTTATTAAAATAATTGCTTTCAAGTAATTTTAACATGTATTACAAATCAATGGTGTAACCAAGAATTAAAAAAATCAAACCAAAGGATACAACATTTAAACAACATTCTGAGAGTTTACAGGTGCTCACCAAGTAAACTGTGTAGATCTTCAGGACACAGCTACAGTATCATTCTAGACAACAGATCATCCAGGTACACAAGTACACAAGTCTCACTGTTTTCAAATTAAATTTAAAATGTCAATAATTTAAAAAATACAAATTATTTAAAATCAATATTATGCCAATCTTTACTTGTCATATAGTTCAATTTTAAAGCATAAAAGCTACAGTATCAGCCTGAAATTTATCTGATATGCATAGTCAGAGGTTATAAACTAGCTTTTAGGTCCTTTATTTCTATTGTTTTATCAGAATGAAGTTTAGCAATCTCTTGCTTAGTAAACCCATACTCTAGAAGTATCTCTTCTGTGTGCTCTCCTATAAAAGGATCTCTTTTACATGATGGAACAGCAGGAGTCCTTGATAGAACAGGAGCAGGTCTAGGACTTATCTCTCCCTCAACACTTTTGATAAAAGAACTTCTTTCTTTGTTATGCTGATGTGAGGCAGCATCCTCAAAGGATAGAACAGGGGTCACACAGGCATCAGTGCTATCAAATATGCTGCACCACTCAGCCTGGGTCTTCTGTGCAAATATGGATGCAAATTTCTTCTTCATTTCAGGCCAGCTGGAGAAACTCATCTGAGCAGGGAGTTCATCTAAATTTAGCCCAAGACCTGAAAGGAGAAAAGCAAAGTTTAACTATAGTACAGCTTAGATAATTTACTAAGTGCTTCCCACAACTAAGTATATTCCTCAAGAAGATAATATTTTGCAGGCAATACTAAAGTCACTTTGAACTTTATTTGGGTATCTGTGCATGGCAAGGAGCAGAGGAATAAAATGTTCTATGATACTTGCAATTAAAACTAAACTACATCAGCTACAACCTTTTAAGTACATACCTGTAATTAGCACTCATTTGTATGAACACTGCACAGAAGCAGCAGCTGTCTCGAGGTAATAATGTTCTGAGAAAAGCTTGCATAACAGGTATCATATTCCCTACCTGGCACTAGCAACACAGAAATCTGCTGAATGGATCCTGGACTATTGGGACACACAAGACAGATGACAGACTTTGGACCTGGTTAGCATAAGAGACTTGATAATCAGGATGCCTTGGCAAGAGCAAACTTTGGCAAAGAGAACTCTGAGGATTAAATCAAGACTAGCTGAAGATTAAATCAGACTGACTCACCAGAAAAGAAAATTACATCAAGTTCAGCAAGCAAGAGATGTTCTAAAATGTGCAAGTTTGTTTATGTGATGATTAACCCAATCACTGTAGTAAAACACTACTAGCCCTCCTAGAATAGTACATAAGCATATGTTGTCCACAATAAATTTGGATTCTTCTGACCATCTCTCAGAGTCTCCCCATGTCTCTCCTCATTGCTGATACTGCACTACAGCAATACACTTATTTCTCAGGGGCCAGCACATCTGCCAGAGCTGCACATTCAGCAGGCTACAGTGTCTGAAGTTCAACATGATAGGGCCATTTCTAGGCCACAGATAAGAAGATGGTGTGATGGATGTGCCCAGCTCAATCCACATGTGGCAGCTCAGCTGCAGGTGCCTGCAGGCTGAGTGACCTGCTTCTTCACTCCACTGTCCAGGGGCTCCAGCAGTATCTCCTGCTCCCTCTGCTCCAGCTCACTTCCCAGGTTCCACTTCCCCCAGCCTTTTCACTCACTAACTGCTCAATAACCCTGCTTTCCATCTCAGTTGCAAGGACCACCCAGGCATGCACTAAGCACATTCCTTATGAGACACCAGAGCAAACCATGGGCACACAGGCCTTGTAATCACAATTTCCTGAACCAGGCAAGTCCTAGGCCTATCCCTGAACTAAGCATCACATCCCTTCTCACTGGGGAGCTTACATTTCTTCTGTGCTGCCAGCTTCCAGTATCTGTTTCTATTCTCATGGATTCTGCTCTCTGCAGTCTCTGCTCTTTCATTCTGCTACTTCAAGGAGATGCAAGAATTTTTATCACTTATTATAGAGATTATCTCAAAAAGGAGGTAGAACACAAGAAAGAGAAAAGGCAATTGAACTAGTTTCAAAATGGAGATAGTACAGAAATATAAGCAGAATATAGAAAGAAATCAGAAGTAATATACTGAAGACTGTTCTAACAGTCAGATTTTGAAATTCAGGAGCATGAACACAGCATGAAATATTCCGAAAAAACAGGGATGCAAAAGAAGCTAATTTGAGAAATCAGACAGACTAGAAAATAACTATCACCATAATGCTTCACAAGTAACAAAAAAGAATGAACTTCTTAAAAAACAGCAGTTCCCTGTAAAAGGCAAAGGAAATGTAGAGTTCCACAAAACTGATTTTTGAGCACTCTTTTTTATATCTTTGGTTACCTGGTATCAGATTGATAATTAGACTAACAACTGTTACAGGCTTGGGTAATAGAGAGCTGTTTGCAGGCAGAATTTACACAGACCTCCTCTTGTCTTTAGCTGTAGATAGGCAGAAAAATATCTTGTCTTTCTATGGCTTCCTTACCACTGAGTAAGGTAGACATACTACTGCTTAAACATACAGGGGAGAAGAAATGGAGAGAATTCCTTTTCTTCTGCTCCTTAAGTTCTTTCTCTCCATTCATAATCTGTACAACATGCACTTCTTGGGGCTCACAGTACGCCCCCCCTTGGGTTAATACAGTATTTAAGAATTTCACTGTTGATCACAAGATTATTAAACATAGTTTTGAAAATGAATACATGCTTTGAAATTGCATTTTGGTACTTCAAAGGAAAACACAGAGAAATTGCCAGTCTCCAGCCTCAGAAGCACAGCCTTGCAGTTGTTCACTCCCAGAAGAAATGCATCACAGTCAAAGACAAAATAAGCACTTTCACATCTTATTAGAAATGCCTGTGGATACCAGGATAAATGACACTACAAATGATCAGTCTTTATGGTTTTATCAAGCCATGTGCACCTTAAATCACTGACCTTCCTCTCTTGTGTCCATAACCATTCATGTAATCCTAAAAATGAGATCAGCTGAGAGTAACAAACTGGTTGAATATCATGATTAAATAAAAGCTAGCAGTATTTTTAAAATTAATTTTATTATTGATTTTCAAAGTGTTCCACTAGAGACTTACAGTGCAGTATAGTTTATTTATGAACTATGAGGTAAGGCAAATTTACCTTCCACAAAAGGAAAGTAAATACTCAC